TTGCTCCCAATATACTTGAAAAAGGACTTTTTGTTGTCCTTAATCCTGGACGCTAGCCTGAGTCCATCTCTGCCTTGGCCTTCCTAATAGCCCTCCTACCCTCACAGGCCGAGGAGGAGTACTCCTCCTTGGTGATAGCTCCTCCCTTCCACTGGTTGTACGCCTCCCTTTTAGTCCTTGGGCATTCCTGAATGCCCTTGCTGAGCCAAGGGGGTTTCTGATCACTCTTTTCCCCCCCTTGCTTCTCTCAGGGACTGTTACCCTTTGGGCCTGGAGGGTCGCCCCCTTAAGGTATGACCATCCCTCGTGGACTCCCATCTCTACCTTCTGGGCCTTCACTGCCTCCCCCACTAGTTCCTAAGCTCATTGAAGCTGGCCTTTCTGAAGTCAAGGGCTTTAGCCTTGGTCTGAGCCCTTGTCACCCTGTGTTGGATAATGAAATCCAGCAGGTGATGATCACTATTGCCCAGGTGATCAAGGATCTGCAGTCCCCTCACCAGATCATCCCCTGTGGCCAGGACCAGGTCCAGCAAGGCATTACCCCTAGTGGGGCTGTGCACCTCCTGGATAAGGTGAAGATCCTGTAATACAGCCAGGAACCTATGCGAGCGGTCAGACCTGGCTGTCTGCTCCTCCCAGCAAACATCTGGGTAGTTTAGGTCACCCATGGCAATAACATCCCTTGACCTAACCAGCTCCATAAACTGACTGGAGAAGTCCTGGTCCAGCTCTTCCCCTTGGTTGGATGGTCTGTAGTAGACACCCACCATAAGGTCCCTTTCGCCACGCCCCCTTGTAATTTGACCCATAGTGTCTCTGCCTGACCCTCCTCTACCCCGAAGCTAATACTTGATGATGTGAGGCGCTCTTTGACATAGGAAAGGTGGGGGAGTTGTGCTCTATCTGTCCTGTCTCTTCTATATAGGGTGTATCCCCGAATGCCTGCTGCCCAGTCATAGGTAGGGTCCCACCAGGTTTCTGTGAGCCTTACTAAGTCTGGGTTCTTACTTGCAATTGGGAGGCACAATTCCTCCTGCTTACTCCCCATAGTATGAGCATTAGTGTAGAGGCAACTGAGGCCTCCTGATGGTGCACATGCCTCCCTCCCACTCCCACGACAGTTGTGGCCCCTGCTCCCTGGACATTGTTGCTTACCTGGTCTTCCCTCCCTCTTGTCACCCTGCATGCTGGTGACGCATCTTCTCCACTCGAAGCGGCCCCTTGTTTCTCCATTCTGTTGTACAGCATCTTGCACACTGGGGAGCTACTCAGGAACAGGGGCTTCTGGTCCTAAAGACTAGAGCAGTGAAAAAATTAATAGTAATAATACTATTGTAATAATAGTAATAACAATAACAGTAATAATGTTGATGAAGTTAATTAGACATACAAAGCGGCCCTTTTAGTTTACTGTAACTATCTGTAACCTCCAAGATACGCACCACTCTCTGTAGATTTCCCAGTTCCTGCTGGACAAGCTACACAAAAGGCCTGTAGTATAGTATAGTACCTGTACATCATGTTACAGATGGAACAAGAAGTGGGGTGGCAGTAAGCAAGGAAGGAAAATCAAGCTGTATGTACAAGTAAATATATGGAGATACATAGCAAAGAGGGAAGATGGCAAGATAGCTGAGTACATTGAGACAGAAATTATTCCATATTTAAAAAAAAAAAAAGAAGGGTTGGGGGAGGACAGTCACTGGAAGAATAAAACTGTGTTCGTGGCTTTTCAGTATGTATGTTCTTCTGTCCCTTCTTTAATAATCAAGCCATGAAGTAGCAAGCTGCTTAAATGGAAACGGCAGTCTCCCTGGTGGGCCAGTCTATTAGCCCCCAGTGCCTTTAAGCTGCTTAATCAGTTCCTAACATTGGTAGTAGAGGTTTAGAAGCAATCAGCAGCTTATCAAACTCCCTGTGGGAGGGGGCTGAGCCAGAGTCACAATGTAGTCATTTGTTTAGTGGTTTCTTCCAGCATATTTCCTTCTGTTTTTTGCAGGACCACCCCCCTCTCAAACTTATCATATTGAGGCGCAATGTAATTCAATTACTGTTTCTACTGGGTGGGTTAAATTGGATTTAGCTTTTAATCTAGCCATGTCCTTTTTATCAGCCTGGAGAGGCTCTTTCTCATTTTTAGAGTCTTTAATTTTGAAATCGGATTGCCTGTTTCCATCAAAGTGAAACCATGATGAGAAGGAGGGGATAAAAAAAGAAGAAAATAAATCTCATAAGAGTAACATAAAGACATTACCTAATTTCCCTGTTGCACTTTCTCATTGTTCTCCCCTGCTTACTGGATGTCTGCTAATATATGTAGTGTTTTGTTTTATTTTTAAGTTTCTAAATACTTCCTTGTTTCTTTGGGTTTTTTTATTTTACCCTTGCCCATTTTGTCGGAGACAGGGTTAGCTTTAACACTCTGCCCTGCTGTCATGTAGACCATGTGTGTTTGGGGAATTAACTAAAAGGCATATTAAAGATTAATGGAAAGATACGGCATGGTGACTGAATTAAAAAAGCAGAGAAAAGTAATCTGCAGAAGCAAGCACTCTGTGCCCCAGTCCAAATTCTGACTGTTTGCCTTGTTTAAGTCCACTTTAAGCTGCCCAGAAAACAAGGAATCTTTTTCTGCTGAGCAGCTGTGTTTTTGTTTTTGTTTTTTTAAACTGCGATATGAGGGTTTGTTTGCAAGCTGAATGGAAATTCATGTCTGCCTGAGATGAAGATGTGGTGCATGATGCTGCTTGAAAGGAAATCAAATTTAAAACTGCTTCCTGGCACAACGGGGTCCTGGTCCATGACTGGAGCTCATAGGTGCTACTGCAGAACAGATGATGCATGGTAGCAATTACCTAATGGCTGGAGCTTTATTACTCTGTTCCATTAGGACAGGGATCTAGCGCAAGTGAGGGAAGCATTCACCAAGGTTGTTTAAAAAAAGGAAAAACCAATGCACACTGTCATTACATTTGGAAACATGCCAGACTTGTAATCAGATGATGCTTTTACTGGCTCTTTGCTGATTCACAGGCAGTGCTAATACAGATGTGAGCATCTGGACAGGCTTGCCTTTTAACAGGAGAGGCAGCAGGTGATATCCTTTATTCATTTAAAGCTGCTTAAGAAAATCAAAGTTTTGTAGCAGAAGGAAGGGCAGGGTGGTACCCTCAAGCCCATCTGGTTGAGAAAGGCATGAGCTTGAATAGGTAACAACCTAATTTGGTAGATGCTAGGAATGCAGTTCCACAGCAAAACTGTGCCAGAATGACTGGACGCAGGGAGTGGATGACCTTTGACTAGGGACCTTTTCTCTTTTCTGCTTTCTTCTCTTCTAAACAGAAGTTCAGTAAACATCAATAGCCTGGAATTGACTGAAGTCTACACTGTGTTTGCATGACTTCTGGGTGGATAGGGGAGTGCTTAGACTCATGCTTCCAGGTTCTCAGAGGCTGAGGGGGGGCATGATGACAGGCTGCATCAAGTAGGGAATGAGGACACAGAAAGATAGCTTTTGTTGAATAAGCAAGACTAAAAAGCTCATTGACTAAAAACAATAGTGCCAACAAA